GGCAATAGACCCTCCAGTGAAGAGAAAATGCTTTTGTTTTAGTGTTCCTCAGGGTAACATTCTAGGTCCTGCCTTATTCACGATTTATATTACTTATTTTTTGCTTTCCAAATTCGACTTTGTAAAAAGTGAAAATGTAAAACTTTAAGATACCATTGTTGGTTTACTAGAATTACCGCCATGTACCGTAGTATAATGAAAATCCTTTAAGTTTCAAAACCACACATCCAGAACAGGGTCCTAAAACCTGAATCAAAAGTTAAGTTTTACATGGCAAAGTTCAATATCGAACAACTCAATGAAGGAATTAATTCAACTTCAATTCAGCGAATAACCTTTTGAATATACGAAAGGGTTCAAAGTTGATCCAGTATTTTATACAAGATTTTATGAAACCTCTAAAGGGTGCGTTATCAAGAGATCTAAATTTTGATTATACCCTCGGGAAGGAATTTAATTATGACTCTAGGAGACGAGAAACAAGTCTTTGATAAGAAAATCTCAGAATTAACAACATCAACCTTTAATTAAATTATTTTAAATTAATAATATAAATACTTAATTATGTACATTTATTTTGTTTACAACAGAAGGTTTGTTAAACTGTAAACTTAACTAGAAATTTATAATGTTCTCAACCTACTTATTGGTTATGCGAATTGAATATTCAACGACAGTAAAACTAGAATTCGACTAATGCATAAACAGTGACAAATTTATGATGGTAGTTAACATACACTTTACATTGATAATAAAACCACTTTTTCCGGATCCTACATCGCATATACATTTTTTTTTTTCAGAAACCAGTTTCCAGCTCTTTTCTCTTTAAATCCGGGAAAAGCAGTCGCATTTCCATTGCGTAGCAATCGCGAAAACCAAAGAAAAATATAATTTTCTTTATAAAACTTTTTTTTTTTATATTTTCAATTCATATTTTACTTTCAACTTATTATCATAAAACACATAATTTATAACGTAATTATAATTATATTTTTTATAAATGAACAAGTTTAAGTAACAAATACAAATCTCTCGCTAACTAGATGTTGATACATTTAAACTTTTCAGTATTGAAAGCTTAAACTATATTCGTAAACCTAAAAAAGTATAACGTTTTGGTTTGCAATATACGAATAGATATTGAACCTTAGTTCAATTTCTATTGGACTATTTTCACAGTTAGTAAATCGAGCAGTAAGTGCAGCTACAGGAAAAAGTACTTTGGAGACTACTCCTTATCCCGGGAGTTGTATTTTAAGTTATTTTTTAGTCAACAAGAAAAAGAGGAGTTATTACATTCTTTAGTGCCCTGCGATTAGAATACAACAATGGTTTTCGGATGTTGTTAGAACTGGTTCTGCAGCAATCAGGCCATTAGCTATTGTAGACAACATTTATGCCATTATGTCCAGTCAGTCTCACTACTACGTAAACAGCGTGCCAGCTCTAATCTTACCTACAGAAAACCGGTATATTACCGGTAATTTGAATTTTCCATTTATGCGGCATCTTTTTTCACCAGTGTGAGTGAGTGATATTTGTTCTACATTTTCTATTTAAGGATGTGTACACATTTGGTGAATGTACCGGAAATACGCCTGTTTTCGAAAAGTACCCGAGTTCAAGGGATCCTAAATCTAACTTAGGGAAGTGTAGTAAGATTTGGAGAGCTAGGGTCTTTATAGCACTCTATAAGTCACTACTTATATATAAGTTAATAAGAGTGGCGCCCTTAGCAGGGGCCATGCCCACCCTTAAAGCAGGACCTCTGAAATCGAGTAGTATAATAAGCGTTTTATTTAGTGTGACCTGGACCCCAATTCAGAACTCTTCGATATTTTAACCGAATTGTTCGGATATCGTTCTAGAATCGATGGCGCTATCAGTGCTATTCAGAACATTCGAGTTGAACGTTCGATTCGGATTCAACATAACGGAGATATCGTTATCCAACAGCGTTTACGGAGTTAGTCGGTGAAATAGATTGTAAGAAAAATTCTTTTTAAATTAAAATCTTTTATATACATTTTTAAGACTTAAAATGCCTAAAATATAGGAATACATTAGCCTTGCATTAAAATAAATAAATAGAATTGAACAAAATCCAGACTTTATTAAAATAATAAGAGATTTCCATATTATATTTTTCTTTGTAAACAATAGGACGTTTGTTAGCTTTCATTAGATAACTGTATTCTGAATAATGTTTGTAGCCTTTGCCGGTCCAGCAGTTCCAGTAATGGTACGGGTGTGATGTCATTTCGGTTTTGAATACGCCAGTTTGACGTTCGATACGGGTGTTGTGACTAAAAATGAAAAGATATCGTACGATATCAAACGTAATCGGTTGAAAACTGAGTTATTGTAAGGTTTTGAATCAACCCCCAGTTTTTTTTATAATAATAACGCACACACTAAACAAAGCCCCGCACTAGGGAAACCCTGTATCGCGGGTACCACCCGTATAGACACACATATAGACAACCACAAATTACACCCAAACTCACGAGAGAAATAAATGTACGCAAAATAAATATTTCTCCCGGCCTGGGAATCGAACCTGGGACCTCTGCGTGTAACGCACATATTCACGGCACCAGATACACGAGATACCAAATCTGTACACATCCTTAAAAATTACATCGTTACTAACAAATCCGGATTGTTTTGTTATCTGGAAATAAGTAATTACTATTACTATGTTTTCTTTTTAAGGCTCCGACCTATTCCGTTTCTTTTGAGTAGTTGCAGAAATCGCGAAAATGTTTTCCTGTACATTTAATAGTGAAACAACTAACAATACGTGTATCAAATAAAATTTAAATAACAATAAAATATCGTGAAAGTAACTGATGAACAATTTCTACATTATGAATATCCTGTCAGGTACAATTTTACAATGAATTTCTCGCCTAAATCTCATTTGTTCCAAGCTTGATTTCGCTTCTCAACTTGACAAGCCATTATCATGAATTTGTAACTTTCACATCAAGGTATGATAATTTAAACAAAATGTACAAGGGCTACAAACGTCCAAGTTTTATAGAGCTACCTGTGTCTGATGAGAACGTTCACATAATGTGGTTCCTTTCACACAAACTACCTCGGGTTACTTGTATGAACTGGGCTACTTGTATGAGCTGATATAATTATAAAGTCAACATGAAGTTTATGGGCGAAATTACTGAAACTGAGCACCTTAAAGGAAACTAATTTACTTAAATTAGCACAACCGCAGAGTTGTACACATTTCGAATTACATTTACGCTGAAACTTTAAATAATTTTCGTACAGGCCTTGAATATTCAGACTCCAACTCATCCATATTTATTAAAATTCCATTTCGTTTCGATTTAGTTCTGTGGCCAGGATTCGTTGTTCCAATACAGTCTGACAGTGTATATTAACATAATGTAACAAGACAGGTGTGGTAATTCCTATGGCTAAGAGTGTATAAATTAAAAATAAATAATACAAGCAATCAATCAATAAATCAGCCTATTGCAGTCCACTGCTGGACATAAGCTTCCCCAACGCAACATAGTGTAAAATATAAACGTATAACACAAATTGTTTCTATGTGTGCGCGCCCGCCACGTGCCGTGTACGAACGCACACATTCGCATAAACTTGCGATGCCAGAGATGACCAAGCACCAGGGTATAAACCCGGCTTTATTAAATTATTAAATCGGGTTAAGACTCATTATTGCCCGATGTCGAGAGCAAAAACTATTTACAACTAAATATTTGTTGTAAATTGAGTTCTGTTCAATGTAATGATATTATTACAACATGTTTATTGCTTTCTGATGTAGACGAATCGATTTGCCCTTTTATTGAATTAATTCGCGTGAAAATGGCATTCACATAAATCGATATAAAAAATCTTTAGACAGTATGCACTTGAATCGATTTTCATAAACGGCGAATCGTAATGTGCATCCTTAGTAGTGAAAATTCACAATTGTGTGGAGTTGTCTTTTTTCGTCTAAAAAATATTTTTTACATCGAAATTTGTAATAAGTATGGAATTATACCAAATTGCGTATTCGCCGTTTGCGCCCATGATTTTGAGCAGGAATGGTTTAAAACCCGGGCGTGTTGATTGGGTTTTAACCAACTGCGTATCTCTGTGCGATGCACTAGCGTTGCATTGCGCTAGTCGTACCACGCACCTTCCATTATTATGCAAATGTGTGCATCCGCACACAGCGCGCGACAGGCGTGCACACATACTAGCTGCGCTTCTACATTTATTTGGAGTTACCATACTTGTTTTATTATACTCTGGTATTAATAGAGGCCTAGTAACTGAGTTTTGGTTGTAGCTCATTTCTTCACGTTTCTGTGTGTCTGAATAATAGACTTATTGGCCACATTTTTGTAGAAATCTTCAATAAATATGAGAGAAAATACTGTAGGGACGCCCTTTGTACGGACGCTGTCAAAAACAGTAAAATATTATATATATCCAGCTTTTTATCGCATCCTATTGTGTCAAGTAACAAAGCGTCTCCAGTTTTCTAGCTTCGAGTGAATATAACGGAAAATAAGTCTAAGTATTAAATATGTTACGTATTACAATATGAATAATCTAATTAAAGACGAAGTTTAAATGTTTCGTAAACGGTCAATTTTCTTATTGGAATAACTATGTACGACTTACGTTTAATATTAAGTTAGTACATAAATTATCTTAAATATTTACAATTTCCCTATAGACTTGTATTAAGAAAAATAACTTATCAAGATTGACAAAGTCACCGAAATATTTCTTTTAGAAAAGTACAGTAGTTAGTAAGTAATAACTTAACTATCCATTGTCGCTATAATTAATTACGCTTATAATTATATCACATTTGTTTATAATAACGATTAATTTATTATTTACAAATTGATTAAAATTTTGTTGTAATTTTAATATTTGTATTCTAACCATAATCTCTCATAGATACTCCTATCTTCTTTGTATGATAATATTGATAATAAAGACCATATTATTTTAAAAATCCAAGAAAGCTTGAATATTTTACACTGGAAATGAAAAACAAACAAAACAAGAACGAAACATAACTTTATCCTGTTTCGGGTGCAAACACGACGACGGTAAATAAAAAGCACAGCGTAATAAATCGACTACTCTAGTTCGAGTACCTCCTTACAAAAAGAAGTGGTCCGTAATTTAATAAGCATATCGTATTTTTTAACGATATATCAAATCCAAGGACGTTACCCTATTAATAATAGCAGAGGGAAAAGGAAAACACACAAATGTACTCCAACTGTCGTTGACATCGAGGCCAGGATAAGATTTCTATAATCTTTTGCTTCATTTTGCGAAGGATAAGTATACGTCCTGTCTGTAACCGTTTTGACGTCCTGCGGACAAGGGAGCAACTCAACGGGTATCTGTAGCAACGTCCGCTCGTTTTCCTTTTTCGCCAATTTCGACTCCTCTACATAGTTGTCGTCTATTTCTTCGTGGAAAAAATCGTCGCTGGTCTCCGGGTAGTCCTTTATGTCACGCTTGTCATCAGCCTCGAACAAATTGTTTGAACTAATAACGCTCCTTTCGAAGTATGCGAAGTGTGAATTCAGGGCGGGATTATTAAATTTACAAACGAAATTTTCCAGAGAGGTGCGCACTTTCACGCTCTTCGCTTCGTGTCGGAGTCTATGCATCCACGCCAGATGGCAGTCGCACTCAAATTCATTTCCTGTAACAATCAAAGCTTTAATTAGTTCCTCTGATTGGATTTATTGATGACACAGAAGACGATATCTTCTAATACTAATTGATTCTTAGCTGTTAATACAATCTAGTTATTGATGGAATGTAAATTACGGGAGTATACTTCACATTGTATAATGTAATTAGGTCACTTGTCTACAGACATAATTAAAATTGAAATTCAATTTCCTTTGTGTACTTAAAACAAGTAGGAGACGTTCTTATAACGTACCTTCTAAGAAAATGAAGCTATTTTTGTTCTTCAAGTTATCGTAAATAGGGCGTAGGTTGTCAAATGTAAATCTCTGAAGTTTGTTAAATCTAAGATCCAAAGCTGAGAGTCCCCTGACGCCCTCAAAAAGCCCGGCGACCAAAGTAACGAGTTTGTTGTGACTTAAGCTTAATTTCCTTAACTGAGATAATCCATCAAATGTCCTTTGACCCAATATGTAAATTTCATTATAGTCTAATAACAATTCCTGCAGATTCCACAATTCGGTAAAAGTAAATGACTTGAGTACAGCTAGTTTATTTCTCCGTAAATCTAGTCTCTTAAGGTTGGCGAGGCCATCAAAGCACTCTTTTCTAAGTTCGCTTATATTATTTCTATCCAATTCTAATTCTAGTAAGTTCACGAGATGCCCGAATGCTCCATCTTGTATAACAGTTATGTTATTGTTAGTGAGATAAAGTTTTTGTAGTGCTGGGAGTTCATAAAACGTGTCGGTTACGAGCTCTGTTATCCTATTCTCGTCTAAAGTGAGCACTGTTAGGTTTGGCATGTTAGAAAATGAATATTTGCCCAGTATGGCAATTTTGTTCTTTGTAAGCGTCATCTCTTGGATTGATGTGAGATTTACAAAAGTATTCGTTTCTATCTTTGGTATGGAACTGTACTTTATGCTGAAGTTTTTCAATTTCCTCAGGTATAGTAATACTTTTGTCGGGACGAAATCTAATCCGCCATCCGCTCTGACGTTGAAGGCTAAAGTTTGAATGTTTATCTGAGACGTAAAGCTTGTCCATAATGGATCGGTTTTTAGCATCCCTCCGTTGAATACCCAGCATTCTGTTTTTTCCGCTTCGTTGATGTCTTGACTGTGTTCGCAGTAGCAATGGACTTTAGAATCTCTGTCATTGATGTCACATATGTTTATGATTGCGGGGAGTGTTTTCTCTTTCTGCTTTCTTCGGTTTGCGTCCAAGGCTTCTATTGCGAATAGCAACAGTAGCAAGGTAGCGGGAAACCTATGAGCCCGCATACCTTCTACCTGTAACAAACAAAATTTACGTTAATACACAGACAAAAGCATATCTGATCTTCGAGGGATTATACTTTTCAGAAGTTAAGATTGCTAAGTCGGATTACGCAAAGTGCTTTCAAAGTTCAGATAAAGTACTAACAATATTAACACAATCTTTGATTTGTACAACTAAACTTTAGCGTAGACATTTCAGTAATCAAAACATTTGTTGTTTCAAATTTTATACATTCCCGATACCACACAAATAAATTCAATGATGATAGATAGGGAACATCAGAATAATCAGAAAAAGTAATATTATATTCATTTGTAGCAACATAATTTTATAAAGGATTTGACATCGGTGACAAGTAAAATGAAAAAAGCGATATTGTACGTGAATTTCGACTTGTAAAGTATTTTACATAAATTAAGTAAGCATAAGACCAAACTTTTTTTTATAATGTCAAGAGACGGGACAAACAAGTCGTGCACCCGACGGTAAGCTACATGCAACTAGTTACTTCTAGTAACTCTCGTTTCTTATTTTCGTACACCTGATTAAAACTATAACGCAGTAATAATAAAGATATCCTTATATGTTAAATACTGTACACATTTAAATAAAGGGGCATAATGAAATGTTTCTGTAACAACTTGGACCGTTTTTTGTTGCTGAAAACAATAATATTTATGTATAGCGGAATTTCAATTCCAATTTATTTGTAATATGAAAAATACCTTTGAAATTTAATATTTAACGCCATTTCATTTAATTTTATTACGATTCAATAAACTGCAATGCTTTATACCAACATTGTATACACGCGAATAACACAAATAGCGCGGCCAATTGAGCATTTTGTGTTATTTCGTTTTGTTTATTTGACTAAAATGTAGTCGGATATTTATTTTTTATTTATTTATTGCATTGTGAATAGTACAGAAAGTAGCAATCCATAGAAACACAGGCCCTAAAAGGGTGCTACAATCAAATATTTCTAAGTAATAAATAAAGAAAAAACATCGGAAAAATTACGTATGTAAAGGAGAGAGGTTCTCTCTTCCGTGGATGAGGTTACGCAACTCCAGCCAAGTGAAAACTCAAAACTGTTAAAGAAATATTTATTTTTCACCTTGTATGTCGTCAATATAATTTCACCCTATATACGGAAGGTCCGGGCAGTTCTTCCCATTAAGGAACTCACTCCTGGAAACCGTTCCGCGAGATTGTTTTTTATTCACCCTATGTGAGCGTACAAAATGTCAGAAGGTCCGGGTAGCAGTTCCCAAGAAGGGACTCAACTCCTAGTTAGCCTACTGAGCTCTCGGTATTCTGATATTTCTCTTGGCATTAACTTTTTTTTGAAGGACACTTTGCAGTTGGCCGCTGATGACCTTAACTGCGCCACCGGAAGAAAACGGCGAGTTGTCGGCTCATAGCCCGTAACATAAACTTAAAGCTAAGTAGCGAGACTAAGGATGCCCAAGTGAGCTCGGACCTCGGCTCAGGGTGCTACTGAAGGATTTTCGCCAGAAGGACGTGCTATGGGAGAGAATCTACCACTATACGTGCTGAAATGAGGGGAGAGCTCTGCGACCTCGCCGGCGAGGATGGTTGGTGCGTGAGGGACAGGACTGACTAGCGATCTGGTTGGCCTTCAAAGTGGCGAGAGTAATAGGGTCGTCAGAGTCGTTGAGGACTTCCCTTGGCCGACGGGTCCTACATACGCAGAGGGGGTGTGAGGGAACACCACAAGCCACCACGAGGGGGTTGGGGTGGAGAGGAGCAGAGTCGAACTTCACATTAACAAAATTGTGTTCGAGTAGTCACCATTCGAGGGAAAATCTTAGCACCGCGATTCAGAAATAACGCCAAAAGGGGCAATGCCATCTAGCGGATTCTTAGGGAAATAAAAGTGAACAATCTAGTTTAAGGCGTCTAATACATAAAGTAGGCTGGTTACACATATACCTAAATTATCAACGAATATAAGTATGATGATAATAAAAACAATATTTATTACGTATTTTACGTTACGCAGGTTACACAAAATGTTACAAATTCTAAATGAGCTTCCAACTCCTAAACTAGGTATTAGACCTGTGTTTTAGGAGGAGGAAATTCTCTAAATCAAGGCGTTAACATTTTAAACAATTGAGGACAGGTGAAAATTGTGGTTACAATAGGATTATAATACTACACCTACATTAGTACAAGAAAAAGTAATAAATATAATAAATTTGAATACTCTCCACACAATTTGAAATGACTTTTAAAATGACGTTATAAGAAGTTATTATTATATTATATATTTTATGCTGATATTCCTCCAACACCCGTCCTAAAAAGTGTTCAAGTGGAGAACCTTGGTATTTTTGGATTACCTATAGGTACCCGAAACACCCTCATGTTTTTTTCACGTTTATTTTCATGTTTTTGTACCAAAATCTTACTTTCATAACGTTTTTAACCATAGTAGCGTTATTAGTGGTTATAAATGTAAAAATAGAACGTCATGGACGAGTGAAATGGATTACGAATGATGTGAGCTCAACGTACGAAAGAAACAACTTATAACAAATTTTACTGGGCGGTGATTGGAGATTAGAACTGTGTTGTGAGTAAATAAATTTAAATGCATTTTTAAAACGATTTTTGCTTGATTCCGCAAAAACCGCTTCTCATATAAATGCGTTTTTTTTTTATAATTATTATATTATTTAAATATGGTGTTTAAGAAATATTTAAAAACAGCTGAATTACTGAAAGATTCCAAAATCTTTTGAAATATAAAAATCACAAAATTTTTAGTTTTAATTTTCCTTATTCATTTCTTGGGCTATTTACCATGTAAATTTAAGTGAGTTGACGTACAGTATCATAATTAAACTTTAACGCAAAACACATAAAGTCGACATTTTAACTTTCACTTTCTTTTAGTTAAATTACAATGAAAAACTATTAAAAGTAAATAATTACTGTATATAATATATAATACTTAACTTATTTTTATTCGTAAAAAATACAAAATAAAAATGATTTTAATTTTAATGGTGCTATTAATTTTTCATTTCACTGTATTTTGCTCGTCTCAATTTTGCTCGTTACTCTGTTATGTTTCTTATTCCTTTGACATAACATAAAATAATCTAATATCTATTATCCTCACAAATAATCTTCAAACGTCAATTCTGTAACGATGTCATTACCTAGATAGTAATTGTTGAATAGAACGAACAATAACGCCAATGTTGGCTCAGAATTAAGATACGATAAAAAAGCATTAATAATTTCTTACTTATCAGCGAGTTCGGAAAAAGGTCTTTATCTACAAATAAAGATCTTTAGGGATTACATAAAGACATATAGATATAGATAAAGATCTTTTTTAAGCATGAAACCGCGTTTAAAGCTCTTTAATCCTGATCTCTACTTGAAATGTTAAAAATTTTATGCCCGCGGCCTGATTCGTATTATCGCTTTATATAATACTACGTGTTGATGGTGAATTGATGATTCGGACCTTCTAAAAAGATCTTTATCTATAGATAAAGATCATTTTTTAAAGATCTGAAGTACAGCAATATTATAATACTGCTTTACTTATCAAGTTCTTAGGTTTTCGCGATTGTTAGACGTAGGAAAAGACTCTGGCAGAGTCAGCCGTGATTAGCGAACCTGTAACGGGTCCGAAACGCTGGTTTATTAAAAAGAAACATTTACATTATACGCTATTTAGATCCAAAAACATTGAACAGAGAACATGAGATTCCGCGGGGGCGATTCGATGGAAACTGCACGTCAGAGCCCTGGCAGCCTGATCACTCGGTACGGCTGCGGCCGCAGGCGGCGTCGGCGAACATTTAGTAGCAGTATAACTCCTTGTAAAACAGTTCGTCCAGGGTAGTACTGCCATCTTGCCTATTTTTGCCGCCAAGCAGTAATGTCAGTAATACTGCGTTGTGGTTTTGAAGGGTAAGGGTGCTGGTGAAATATGGTCACATAAGGCGTGTCAACTTATGTCTCAGGGTGACTGGCGCGGTGGCAGTGCCCCTCAGATCTTTGCGATTTAAAGCTCTGATTGGCACTGCAACTGTTATGGACAGGCTTGTTGCTTACCATCAGGCGCACGGCTTGTTCATCCCGTTACTTAATATTATAAAAAAGTCGTATGCAGGATTACACACTACACTAACAACCACAACAAAGTGATTCGAAACATGTCCTCTAATGAAACAGCAAATTATAAGTAGAGATGGGAAAAACTGCTTATTTGTTTAAACGTTAAAACGTTGTGCTTTTTTAAAAACGCGTGCTTTTTAAAATGCTTTTCACTTAAAACGCTTTTTAGTTTGACGCTAGAAAATCGCTTAGAAAAAAATGGTAAAAAAAGCTTGCATCGTTGTGGTGATAAACTGCTATAAAGGCTTTCAGATAATTAAGTTTATTTGTAAAACACGAGTTTTATTCTTATCCAAAAAAATATTATTCACATTGATGAATTCATTTGTTTAGAAAACATAGATGGCGGGACCTTTTTTTTATAATATCAAGTGATAGGACGGACAAGTCGTGCTCCTTATTGTAAGCTCACGCCTGTCCATAACAGTTGCGTTGACACTCAGAGCTTTAAATTGCAAACATTTGAGGGGCACTGCCACTTAAAATATAAGCACGCTGTTAACGCTTATGTTTTAAGTTGAAAAGCGTGCTTATGTGCTTATTTTAAAACGTAAACTTTTTACGTCCTTTTCATTTAAACGCCCACCTCTATTTATAAGCTTTTTAAACCTGATCACTACTTGAAATGTCCACGGTTTGTTTCGTATTAACCGTTTTGCGGTACACCACATGTTAGATTGATGGACCCAGTGACTCTCTTTTACTAAACGTAAATATTAACTGTTTTAGTAAATACACCTGAATATTATATTAATCCCACTTAAATAATATCGCAAGTTATTATCAGCATTATTCCATGCTTATCCAAGTAATTTGACTTTATTTGAACATT